AGCTCACTCTGTAGTCCAGGTTTTCTGGAACTTGATATATAGACCAGGCTGCCTTTGAACTCACAGAGATATACTTTCCTCTGCCTCTCGATTCTGGTATTACAAATGCCTGATGTATTTATTCACTTCAGTGAAAGTATATGATAATAACTCTTATTTGGGATTCACAGTTGGTAGCCTGTTAAACTAATTCTTCACATCTCAACTATCACTTAAAATATATTAAATTAAACTTTCCTGTGTTGTTTCCCACATAACATTTACTTCTGATACTCAGTTTCCAGCCACCAAAGGTGAGGCACTTGCCAGCCTGAGCCAGCCTCCTGCCACTGTGAGGTCCACATTCTGATCCCAGGACCGGAGGAGGGTCAGAGGAGGCTGGGAGTTTGAAAAACTTGTGAGGAGCCATGGACAAATAAGACATATTTATTCACTGTGGGTGAAGGTCACTGGGCAGGAAGCCTGCAGCTGGCACTCAGGCACACAATGACACATACAGTCTGAACACAGGAAAGCACAATCACACAGTCCAGCGCATAGTCCACACTGAAGAAGGGACAGAGACCCACAGGATGGCTGTAGAAAACAAAGACTCAGATTCCTGCCTCTCACCTATAAAGATGGAATTGGACAACCCTGAGAGAGTCTACAGTGGACCATTGAAGTCTCGGATGATTAAGTCTCATTGAAGGAGCTTAAGTGAGAGGTATGAAGGCATGAAAGGAAGTATCTTGACAGAGGTCACAGGTTCTAGGGAGAGGCAGACCAAGGTGCTGACTAGGGCTGGGAGGATGTTTCATTAAGTGTCACAGAGATGGAGAGTCACCTGACATGTGCTATAGAGTGTAAGGATCTTTAATCTTGGGAGGATATAGAATTTACCATAGAGATGAAGAAGTTAACCAGAACAGACACAGAGTTACAAATTTGGTGCCGTGTAATTCTATGGCAATGATGATGATAATAATCACCCAAATTACAAACAGAAACAGGAATTTGAGTAGACATTCTTGTAGAAAGATCTATAAATGTGAAGTGAGCACATGAGCTTATGATTGGCATCGTTACTCATCACGGAAATAAAACTCAACACTAGAATGAGTAACCACTTCACACCCATTGTCTAAAATAAGAAAAGACGAATCACACATGGAGAAACTGAAAGTCACAACCTCCTGGTGGGGACACAAAGCTGCATAGGGGCTTCCAAACTCTTGGGTGTTTCTTCAAAATGTGAAATGTAGAGTTGTCATGTGACCCAGAAATTCCATCCCTTGGGCTCTTCCCAGGGTAATTCCTAGAAAGCATATGACTATACGTAAATTTATACATAAATGTTTGTTATAAACTTACATAAAGGTAGAAACAATCTAATGCTGACCAACTGAATAAAAAGTCATTATAGACAACATTATTAATATTGTTAACCAGCAAAAAATGACTGACTGACAAATGCGGTATCTACTCAGCACAGAGAGACCAAGAAATGTGTTGGGCCCTGGCCCCCTATTTCTTGAGTAGCTGTTGCCCTGCTTGCTGATATTGACGAGATGTTCTCCCTATGCTGAATCCCTGCAGGTTTCCTTCCACCTGAAAGCTCATGGGAGGTTGTTTGTTTGTGTATCCCGGCATTTGGAGTAAAGAGCTAGTATGCAAGAATGTAAAACATCAGTAGAACTTCTGCCCTCCGGGGTTCTCCCATTGTGCTGTAAGCCTGTATGTAAGGCCTCCTCCTTCCTTCAATAAATGGCATTTGGCATTCTGCTGAGACAAATGACCTGCTGTTCTTGTCTCTGTTTTTTGATCCACAGCCCCTCGCTCAGACATGGTGAATGGGTGGTGGTAGCGCGGGCGTTACCACTACAGAAATGAATAACTAACAAATGTGGTATTGATGCAGCACAGAGAGACCAAGAAAGTTAAGAAGACTCAGGAGCAGAAAGAAGCCCTTCACACCAATCTGATGGAAGACCCTTGTCAGCTCAGGTGACACTTCCTGTGGAGGTTGGCAGCATACATGCAAGATATCTCTATGCAGAGATATTTCAAATGAGAATGTTAGAACAGCACTCATGCTTATAGCCTAAGCATACACGGTCCAGATATAAACCTGCAGCTTCCTACAAATCCTACAAGAAACCCTACTTACAATACAAGGCATGTCTAATAGCCTTGTAACCCATGCTTTTATTTTAGCATATTACATTTTATTTGTGGGGCATCCCTAATGTCATGCTCATGTATGAAAAACGAGGATGAGATCTTTGGTATGGGGGAGGAGGGATGTTACTGTAGTCCTGCCGGCTACAGCCCAAACAAACAATATGGTAGATTCTGACTTCAAAGGATTCTCCAGGTGGGAGAAGAATGAGAACCACCGTGCCATCAAGCAGGAAGTTCTGTGAAGATGCTTCCAATGACTTCCTTAAGAAAGAGGAAGCAGAGGGCAAAGACCTGTGGGATCTGTGTCGTAAGAGTGAGCATCGCTTTAAAGGGCAAGCCCATCTTCTAACAGACTACATGTAGAAAATGAAAGGGGAAAAAAGGCCAGAGCATTCCAGCCAGGAAGAGAAAATAACATGGCCTCTTGTTAGAAGTGTTGCACCCAAAGTCTGATGTCCCCAAAGACTACCAAGAGACTGACTGATCTGAATGCAAAAGCAAAGAGTCTTTAATTTTTGAGTTAAACGTGGGCCCCTTGTCCATCCATCCAAGTGGTGGAGTGAGAGGGATCCCAGGAAGTTACAGGATAGGATTTTTATAGTGGTTAGGGTTGGGGTGGGGTCTAGGGGAATTCTGACTCTATATAGTCACAAACTCAGGATTGGTGCTTACTTCAGGTTAGAGATGCTTGGTTTGGACTGATTGGAGAGTTGCAGCGGCAAGCAAATTGCCATGTCCTCTAGCAGTTTATGTCATCGCATCTACATCATCAGTCCCATTTCTTCCGGTAGTTTGACATCCCATTTTTATCTGCAGGAAATTCATTCCTTCTGACAGCTACGGTATACAATCTATAACAGCAGAAAATATCCCACAGGACCTATCTGGTGCCATGATTATTATGCCAGTTACGTTATATCATATCCCTTGGGTTAAGGCAGAAAATGTCTGGAACTCATTTTTGTGTAACTTCTAATTGTCTGGGTCTAGGGGCAGAGGGCAGCACCTCCTCTGGTGGCCTTTTTTTTAGAATAATTTGTCCAAGGGCCTGCTGCCCCTTGTCTGCCCCTTCTCTAAGATGGCTGTGACCCTCTCATCCTCTCAGAAGATGTAGAGGAGGATGACAGGGAAGGCTCTGGAGGGAGCAGGGGTGAGAAACAGGGAGAAGCAGAACAGGAAGGAGAAACTGTGTCAGAGGACACAGGACAAAGAGGACAATAACTATGGGCCAGCCTCATCGGTGATGAGGGACCAGAGTGACAAGTGTCCCCAAGAACACAAGTTAAGACAGGAGATGGTCAGAAGTTGTTGGTCAAAGCAGAGGAGCTGGAGAAGCTAGAGGAAGGGATGGTTGAAATCCCCTCTGGGGTGGAGAACACAGGGTGACTGAGGAAGCAGATGCTGCACGTAAGCAAGTCAACCTTCCCTCAAGCAAGATGAGATAGAGAGCCAGAAGCCTCTGTCCCTTCAGCTGCTGTCACTTCGTGCTGGGTCAGGGGTCAGAAGACAAGGGGTGTGAGCAGCCTCTGTGGAAACATGGAGACAAGCAACAGAAAATGAGCACCCTGGGGAAGCCAATGGCACCAGGAAGCTTCTGAGAGGAAGAGATTGGCGAAAAGCTGCCGTCCATAAGCCAGGAAGGAGAGCACACAGAGAGGAGAGATTTCTAGACTGAGTGTGTCACAGGTAATGTGCACTGAGTGGGCTCTCGGGCTCAGCCATATGGAACCTTGACCTTGGGGAGTTACATGAGTGATCCTGTAGACAGTGTGAGCTTTTTGTGTTTCTGTGGAGTCTCTAATGGTCCTGTTTCTGTTGGGTCCAGGGTTGCACAATAATGGGAGAAAAACCACCAAAGTCTATTAAACTAGAAGCAGACTTTATTCTAAAAAAAATTCGAAAGAATGGAAATGTCACCGTGAGACACCAAAGCTTATCAGCTAGCTGAGACCACAGCCAAGTTTCAGGATTCTGAGCCTGTGGCAGCTGGAGGCGGGCTATAGCTTCTTTTTTATAGTAAGGGGTAAGCATAAGACATAGACAAAGGAATTTTTACAGTTTTGAAGTTAAACTTTTAGAGACAAATTGTTTTAGGCTTTTACAATTTTCCATTGACAAGGTTTTAAGGGGTTTTAGCTAAACAATATTTGTTTATCCCTGTAGTCCTGCTTGACTCAGTTAATTGATGTTTGTCCAAACCTGCAACTTCTCCCTGACGTAGCTGAGTCCCCATAATGGGGAGGAATATGAAACAATGCAAGGTAGGATGTCCCCGTAGAACTCATTAAAAGTTAACTTTGGCCGGGCGGTGGTGGTGCACGCCTTTAATCCCAGCACTCGGGAGGCAGAGCCAGGCGGATCTCTATGAGTTCGAGGCCAGCCTGGACTACCAAGTGAATCCCAGGAAAGGCGCAAAGCTACACAGAGAAACCCTGTCTCGAAAAAACCAAAGAAACAAAAAAACAAAAAAAAAAAAGTTAACTTTGATTTAGTGAGTGGTAGGGGACCCTACAGTTTCCCAGCAAGGGATCTTACTATGTTGGAGTTCTGTGTATGTGTCTTGGTCTAATATATCTTCAATTATTGTAGTTTTAAAAGCTTATCCTTTAGTAAATAAACAAATAAATATTGGACCTTTATTAAATAAGGGGGGGGGGGTTCTTAGCAGCTTTGTAAGATGTAACTTTTGAGCCACAAAGCAACATGCTTTCACCTGAGTTGAGTTCTCTGAAAAAAACTCAGCGTCTGCACGCGGCATTGTGTAACATGTCTGTGGCCCATGCCCCAATCTGATGCCCTGAACCCTTATGCTGAGCCTTGGAAAAGTCAGGTTTGTAAATGAGGATCACACAGGAGCACACACTCCATTCACAAGAAATGCTCGTGACTGGGAAATACAGGCAGAACACAGATTAATATTTGCCAGGAAAGGAGGGTGAGAGTGAGAAATGGACACTGAAAATAGGCAGCCCCCCAAAAGGTACCACCAAAACCCTGCAAACATCCTCTAGTCAAAGGCTTTTAATACTTTCGCTTTCTTTCTCTATGGCCTGTTTCTTTCTCCACTCCCCTTCTCAGCAGAGGCTAGAGCAAGCAGCTGCTTGTTTCTCCGCCCCTCCCAGCTCTGCTGTGATTAAAGGGCCAGCAGAGTCTAGCCGGCTGCTGGGATAAGCTACCAGGACACCTAGGCTGCAAATTCCACATTGAGAAGTCTCGAAGGTGGTAAGTGAGGGCGCTTGTTATGGGCTGTGAGACCAACAGAGGTGAGGTTTACAAGGTCTGGGCTGAGTCCGGGAGGAAACCCCGGGACTGCAGAGATAGAAAAAGAGAGAGTAGACAGATGGTGTCCGATAGGCATTTAAAAAGGCGATTCCTCTAGAAACTCCAGCTGGCAAATGGCAGCAAGCCTGGTCCCGTCCCGGGGCTGGTGTCCAAGAGCTATCTTGGCTCCTCCTCAGCCAGACCTGGGTGCTGCAGGGAATCAGCAGCCTTCTCCTCTGCCTCTTTCCTGCTTCCTTTCGGATCCTACCACCTGGACAATTTGTCTGCCTCTGCTCTCTCCTCGAAGATCTGTTTCTGTTTCTGAGCCCTTTAAAAGGCCAGCAATCTCAGCTGGACGGTGGTGGCGCACACCTTTAATTCCAGCACTCGGAAGGCAGAGCCAGGCGGATCTCTGTGAGTTCGAGGCCAGCATCAAAGCTACACAGAAAAAAAACCTGTCTAGAAAAGCCAAACAAAAGCAATTTCTAGTACAAAATTGAGCACTCTTCATTTCCATTTTTTAAAATAATTCACTCAGTATTGACAGAAAGCCTCCTATATCCAGAGCATGCTTCCAGATGCTTAAAATCAGGGTGCCAGACAGCTCCCTTACCTTCAGAGAGCTCCAAGTGTGGTGGAGACACAGTCAGCAAGAGAAAGGACCGCACTTAGGATGATGACAGAACCGGCTGGGGCAGCGTCACTAGGGTGGCAGAGCAGAGGCCCTGAGGTTGCCCTGCACTAGTGAAGGAGGGAAGGGTGAGTAGTGTGAACTCAGTGACAGAGAGGGGGTAGATGACCTTCTGGGTGGAATAAACGGTACTTCAAGGATTCAGAAGCAACTTTAAAGGGACATCAGGATGGGCAGGAGTGTAGGGGTCGCACAGTAGGTCAGATGAGAAGACCAACCAGAAGGCCAGGCATTTAAATAAAGCCGCCGCCGCCGCCGCCGCAACTTTCCTGAAGAGCCTTTGGGGAATTATAAGGAAGAGTCACAGGATCTGGGCACACTCTCAGGATGCTGTGTCCGTCTGTCTGGGGAGAGGAAAGAAGTATGGGTTGTGATGTTCTGAGACTCCCTGGGCTATTTTATTGTCATTTAAGCACTGTAGAAAGTACTCGGGAACACACTTCCAGTGTTCAAAGGTCATATGACAGTCAGAGCACAGCCATGGGATGTGCAGGGACTCAGATTTGGGATATTGTGGCAGGGGCAGTCACTTAGTCTGGGCCAAGCTGTCCATTCATCTGGGAGTGAGGTATGCTCCACAGAGAAACAGCCTGGTGCCATGGCCTGATCAAGGCCTCCTGAGCAGCCACTGCAGGTGGATGCTTCCTGCTGCACAGCAGGGTTGGTGACACCAGCCTGTCTTCGGGTCTCATTCAGCATCTCCAGGTCTGTCCTGTAGCAGCTGCAAATGCAGAGGCTCTGTCTAATGCACACCTGGACATCTCAGAGGAGTCTTTCACAGGCTGACACAGAATGCAGCTTTGCTGAAGCCAGGCTAGAGGACCTGGACGCTCATGTCTGTTTTCTTCTTCCTTTCCTCTTTTCCTCCTCTTCCTATTTATCTTCCACTCCACCATCTTCAGAGAGAGGAGCTGGTGTATATGGAAGGAGACTACAGGCCACCTCTTTTAGCTGTGTCCTGTGTGCGGTTCTGATGATCTGACCTCTGCCTATGCAGATGACACAGACGCTAGTTTGGTCTGTTGCCATGACCACACTTAGACAATAATCCTAAGATTGGAAGGACTGTGACCAAGAATGAATTTTAAAATCCTATTTTAAGTACTTTTGAGCTTTGAATGAGAACCAAGAGTAGAGTCCCAGATTCCCTGAGTCAGGTCAATGAACCTTCAGTACTGTGTTGAGTACCATTTCTCTTTTGCCTCCAGACTCTGCATCATGAATACTCTGTCTGAAGCAAATGGCAACTTTGCCATCCACCTTTTAAAGATGCTCTGTGAAAGCAACCCTTCGACAAATGTCTGTTATTCTCCCATGAGCATCTCCTCTGCTCTGGCTATGGTCCTCTTGGGGGCGAAGGGAGACACTGCAGTCCAGATGTCTCAGGTAAGCTGTCTGTCACCCCTCACCTGCTTCACTTGCCTAAGGGCTGCTGAGAAGGGAGCTTAGGAATGTGCTCACACTGTGTCATGGGGCAGGGGTCAAAGAGGAAGGGATAATGAGTTTTCCTCAGTGATAACTTAGAGGGAACTTATTTAAGAGGCAAAGAGTTTTCCACAGTAAGAACTTAGAGGGAACTCTCAAAATTTTGTTCAGACTTCACTGAGAAAATGCTGCATAAATAATTTCACACCAATCTTGGTGGCACAGGCCTTTAGTTCCAGCTACTAAGGAGACAGAGACAGGAGAATGCCTAGTTCAAGACCAGCCTGGGCAACTTAGTTTCAAATAAAAAAGTTTTTAAAAAGATGGAAGGAGGGTCTTAGGGTTATAACTTAGGCTCAACCCAAGTACAGCAAAGGAAAGCAAGGAGTTGAAATTATTTGAAACATAGGTTGCTAAGATCTATTTTATTTTTAGAGCAACAGACTTTGTAATTATTCATTGCCAAAGAAGGTTAATTCCTGCTTTATTTTTATTTTTTTCCAGACAGGGTTTCTCTGTGTAGTTTTGGTGCCTGTCCTGGATCCTGCTCTGTAGACCAGGCTGGACTCGAACTCACAGAGATCTGCCTGCCTCTGCCTCCTGAGTGCTGGGATTAAAGGCGTGCGCTCTAATTCCTGCTTCTAATTGTGTCCAACCTGCCTTGCATAGCTAAGCTACTGAACGGGGGTAAAATGTGTATAGCTAGTCCACATCTTGACTGGACACTATTTGGGGCTACTTTATGAAGCATCCTGTGAGCATTGCAGGTGATTAAGAATGGGTTTCTGACCTCAGGGGTTTCAAGGCAGGCAGGAGGCATTTGCCTGAGAAAAAGCCCTGTGCATACACTGTCCCAGTAGGAAGTAGTCACTGTTGCTCTGTAGTTTGCCAGGACTTTTTCATGAGGATCCTTTCAGGTATAACTCCTCATTTTTATCGTCTCCAAACTTAGTGAGTGCATGAGGACATGAAGATGAAGACATAGAAGAGGCTTCTTCATAATTACTCTTTATGGTCTTTTATAGGTTTTACATTCACTAATAAACACAGAGAGCTTGTGTATGTGTATGGTTGTAGGGTGTGTGTGTCTGTGTCTGTGTGTGTATGTCTGTGTGTGTATCTGTGTGTCTGTGTTTGAGTGTGTATCTGTGTGTGTGTGTATCTGTGTGTGTGTGTGTGTGTGTGTGTGTGTGTGTGTGTGTGTGTTTACATGCCTA